AAAGAAACATTACTTATTATTTCTGTTGCACACATTTTTTGTGTAGAACAACTTTTGCTATCGAAAATAAAAGCAAGAAAATCGGCTGTGGCGCCAATATCCATCGATACGTTCTGGTGGACATGTAGGGTGTGTTCGCGCATGGGGGTTGCGAGGAAACATCACTGCCACTTTATTGACTAAAGACTAACGCGTGCGTAGACGACGAGGTAGACACGCCGTTCGTCGACCCTGTCGCTTCGAGAAATCGATTCTCGACGCGTCGCACTTTCGAAGGCGCGCTCGCCGCTTTTACAGCTCTTCGCGTGTCTCCGGCGAAATATCTGGCTATCATGTGATTGGAAATATATTAAAGACTGGTGAGCGATCGCGAATAAAATTGTCACTGCTGATCTCAGGAAAGGCAAAGACAAAGTCAAAACTCGCGAGGTCGGACAATCGAGATATATCGTTGGGACATACGTTCGCGCGCGCGCGCCGGTGATATCGCGCGACGGCGTGCCACTGGAAATTTTATCAATACCGCGGCAGCCATCTAGTCTCGCTGGCAGTCGCTCGCGAAAAGTACGCGCCGAACACCGATTGACTTATCGGGGGGTGCCCGCTGAACGAGCCGACCGACACAAATCGACGAGGATTACCAGAATAGGAAGAGCCCGAAGCGATCGACTACAAGCATGTGAGTACACGCGATAATACGCGCGTATCCCGATCACCCCTGCGATCGGAGCCCGCTGAGACGAGCTCGTTAGAAAAAAAAAAAAAAAAACGAAGACCCCTACGAGAATGTCGCGAGGACGAACGTTGTCGCCTATGACGTTGATCGTGCAGATTTTCGACGGTGAAACGCGAGCGAGTCCTTTTAGCCAGTTGCGACAAACGAGTAATTGTGCCACGGTACTTAAGAACGTTATCGGTTATGAGATGCTATTAAGAACGACAAGCGAGGTGACACACATCAGCGCCGAGCGAAACTGAACTGGACTGCGATAGAGCAAAGTGTATAAAATTTGCAACAGACTTCCTGCGAAAACGCGCCCGCTGTGAAACACAAAGTCGCGAACAAATCGACGAAATACAATACGCGCATCGTAAGTTGCAGTATGATACGTCTCTAACTTCCGCTTCGAAGCGGAACGAACGGCACAAATGGCGATTGTTTGACGTGAAGAGTTGTATCGAGAATGAATTCCGTGGCCATTCTGTGGTCAGCGGATCGAAAGCACTTGCGTAAATAAGGATATTCCTTTTGAGAGCGCGAACTGTAACGCGTCCCGCGTATAACTACGTCAACGAGCGGTCGCCTTAAAGTAGATCGGCGACTATACTTCGCGCTCTATATGCATTTCGCGATTCACACGCGAGAAGTTTCGCGCGATCGATGAATTTGGCGGTACGCGAATGCGGAGAACTGCGTAAAAATCGTATGGAACGTGTCCGCACCACCGACTTGGCGAGAAGTCAACGGGTATCGCCAATGATGCGGCGTTGTAAGATGCGTTTTAAGACGCAATTGCCGAGGCCCTTGTCGCCGCCAATCGATCCCCCTCGCACGACCCGTCCGTCCGTAGTACACGGCAGAATTTCCGATAAAGTGCAACGGAGCCTCGAAGCCTCGTTTCAGTCGAAAGAAATAAATGCCCGCAAGACTCGGCACCATTGACGCCGTGGCCCTTCAAACCCTTCGAGGGACGGGTGCTACGATAATGCACTGACCTCGTTCGACATGCGAATCTTTTATTCGAAGAACGGTCTACGTATCGATCTCTTTGAAATATTAATAAAATAAATGTGTCGCGCGAATTTTTGTCCGTATATTGATCAACTTCGCGTCTCGGAGCCGTCAACTTTTACTACGTTACATTAATCACTGCGCTTAGTAGATTCATATCTATTTATTTATTTGTTCATTCGATATCGTTGTTAATTAGACATAGAAAGAACTAAATATGACGCAATAATCAAGTACGATGGTGTAACTACGCTAATTAATCTTGCTTTCGAGATGAACTGATGTAGCTTTCTATTTCCTGTTCTAATTTCTCTCATTATAATCTTTTGAATCCGTTTTTTATTCGATTATGTACGTTATACTCATTCCAAGTAGCGTATTTGTAAACAATATCGCCGCTATCTTTTCGAGTGTTTCACGATCTTGGACAATCGCGATAATGACGTAGGATGATTCAGACGACGTTCATATCGTTATAACACCCACACATTGCCGACGAGCATGGAACTTGATCTTTTCGAAGGTCATACGATAATTTCGTATTATTTCGTATTAGCGTCACGATAAATTGTCAGATAGATTAAAAAGCGTTATCGAACACGTTATCGATCCGCACAATCTTCCTTCCAAACTATCCGCTTCTTCATTTGCAAACGCATCGCGATTAGCACACCGAGCGTGCGTTATTTTTTTCTGCGCATTTCAGCGTGATTGTCAGGAGTCTAATTGCAAATATATATACATACATTTATGTATATATATAAATATATATAGTCGGGATCAATTGCGCGAAACGCGGCGCACTGCTACTACATGTCAGCTCGCAGTTTCTATATTTAGATAATCAATGATGAGCACATTTACGGCAATGTTCTACGGCTTTGCTAGACGGAAAGGTTCGCATTCGCACGCATGTACGTGGTGCACACAAAAGCGTCGTGAACGCCGGTGGCGAACAATGAACCGGATTGTTCGTGCATCGATCAAAGGCGACGGAATCTTCGGGGCGGCGGCAAACCGCGATGATAGCGATTGCAATTTAACTTGAAGACTCGATAATTTAACGAAATTGCCACTTCCCTTTGAAACAGTTCTCGCGATCATCGGAAACGAGGATGCAAAAATTACTAATTCTGAATAATTATTAATAATTAATATTATATCGATTTCATATTTTATATTAATTTGGAATAAACAATTCAATATATTAATTTGATGTAATGCGTCATAGTGCGATTATTCGGCCTCTGAATTGTTTACAAGTAACGCTGTCACATAAAAATGGCACTTCCCATACAGCGCAGAATATTGCAGCAACATTGCGGCAATATTGCAACATTCCAGCAACATTGCAAGAACATTGCAATATTGCCGCAATGTTGCTGCAATGTTTTGTGCTGTGTGGGTTAACGAGTTCTTTAGTTAGCGTAAATTGATTGCTGCAAATGAGATGAATGCGAAAGGATTTGTTGGACGCACTGCTTTTACATGATGATGCAAATCCCATAAGTATTCTCTCATCGTATGGCGCCAAATATACAATATATAATCCAATAACAAGGATGAAGAAGCAGCGTCCGCGATCGATATATTAATCCCATTATGTAACCTATTTTACGTCACGAAGTGAATATTTCTTGGTTTTTTTCGCACGATATATAGTCGCACAGCGAAAAGTATTTCGATAAACATCGAATCAATAAATTGACAATAAAATAAATGTTAACGGTATGTATTTATTTAGAGCTTTCAAAGAAGCGTTTCAATAAACCAAAAACTCTATTCGTGCTTTTCATATGTACATATTGCTTTCACACTAATAGAGAACAAACAAACACTCTTATCGATCTGAGTAGCAAAGTAGCTGTCAAAATATCTAATTAACAATAACAGAAAATATTTTCAATGAAGAAAATACTTAAATATCGAATTATACTAATAAATGATATCAGCACGAATATTTTAAGTATCAAAAGAACAAAATTATTTAATTTTTTTAAATAAATTAATCGACTAAATTCTTCGATCTGACAGTTGTTATTGTCGATCACACTGATGTAAAATGCATCAACTGATAATTTATTAATTATAATTAACAAATATCAACAGGAATATTGCAGACAATACATGATTATGTGATTGTTCAAAATGTTATTCAATTATTAAAGTGTGACAATTACCGCCTTAGCTCTTTATTGATCGTACTGTTGACGTGAATCGAGCGGAATTGCGTAGAAATGTCACGACGAATGCCAAACAACGACCGAATATTCCGACGGTAGCGTCCCACATCTCAATGAAAACGATACGGAGGAGAGGCACGTACGCGCTCTCTCCTCTCAGCTCAACTATTCCGCCGACGGTATTCGAATAGCCGATCGATCGGCTGTTGCCACTCGGTCGTTCGATCGTCTGGCCAAAAATAAAACCCAGCAACCCATCCGCCGACCGCTTTTTAATCCGCCGCCACGTACAGCCGGTGTCGGTTTCCCGAATCGTAGATATCGCGATATCGTCAATTATACACACACGTGCTTCTCGTAATTCTCGCAGTTTACGTCATATGCCTCCCTACCGCCTGCCGCCCCCGTCACGGCATGACGTTCACACATACAGATAATTGTGGAAGTTTTTCTGTAGCAAGGGTTAATTTCCTTTAATAGAAATCAATCGATTTCGTTGTTACATGTAATTATAAGTTTTGTTTCTAATTTTAGTCAATTAATTAATTAATAGATATATTAAGTTATACTCTGATAATAATAATTGTTATCCTCAATTTTATCCACATTGTTAATGTAAAGCGCGGGCTCTTATTGACGTAATTAATCCGAACAACAAACGCACAGATTACAACGAGATGTCGCGTCCGGGAAGGAAAACTCAATTATCATAAGTTGTTGAGTAATTGAATTAACATTTCTCTTAGCGGAAAGGTCTCGCTCTGTTTTCGCAAAAGGTCAGACGGTAACGTTGAAAACACCATGAAAGAAAAATTCACGGAACAACCGATACGCGCACCTTCTATCGTCTACAATCTCTAAAATCAACCCAACAATATTTCTACTGTTAGTAAAAAAAAATTTTTTGTGTATCCCATTCTCTTTGAAACAATTTCACGCAAGAATAACAATGTTGCTACAAAGTATTTTAGTCAATACACTATAAATATATACAATTTACAACAATATTCTCCTTTTTCGCGTATGAAATAATTTCAGAAAAAAATGCGGCATGCATATATCTTCTTCCGTTATTTGAGCACTATTAATTAAAAGTTATTACAATATTTAGTGCTAATTTTTTTGTAATTTTGTCTTTCTTAAAATGCACAAATTTATTCAAGATTTTAGCGAAAAGTTCGCGAATTCCGTTTCAGTGAGTGATTGCGATTGTTCGACTTGAAATATATGTACACGTGCGCTTAAGATCTCTCCTGAGGCAACACGAGTGTAGTTGGCATTATCAACGACCTTTCCATTCCGTCTCGACGACCCAACCTTTTAACCACAATGTGCCCCGAAGACGATGTTCGACGTTATCATATCGCCGTATCCTCCTTAGAAACGAGTGGGAGAGAAACGCGCCGTCGGCTAATACGCACATCGAGTTTTTGCCATTAAAACGACGGGAATGGCGAAATCGTGTCATGAACTTTGCCCTTTCGCGGCGGTTTCCACCCGCTGCTCGATATGGGGAAAACGTAGCACCATGGAGCAACGACAGCGCCCATAATTCCCGACCTCGTGCGATTCCAGGATTGAAAGACACCCACCCGCCTATTTATTTTATCCTTTTTAGAGAACCGTCGAAAGAGGCGTTGCGCGTTGCGTGTTCCGGGAAATGCAAATAAATCCAGCGGCGTATACAAACCGCAACTGTATCGGTAATAAATACACGTGTTTGGCAAATGCATGATTTTAGCGGCGTAACATATCGGCGCAGCTGTATTTACACGCGTACCGTCCGACGCTTATTTGTGTTACGTTTGACTTTCGAAAAAAAAAAGTATTCGCAATACGGGGCCATTATTATTCTATTTTACTATTTATCGCTTCTCGAATCACAATATTGCATAAACAGACAACACTCCGTCATCAAATACGATAATTGATACCCGATCGCATTTGCTTACGATGGTTCCGACAAGTTAATTGCGTACTGTAACTACACATCGGATTTGCCGGCAGTTATCATCCCCCGAAACGTTCTTGTTCTCTAGGGCTACGGAGGGCGGTTTAGCACCGGATGCGGCTGCAGGTGCAGGCGCGGGCACCGACGGCATCGTCGGCGGTCCCAGGACGCCCCAGCAGATTGCCTCGCAGAAACGGCTGCAGGCGACGCAAGCGCAAGTCGACGAGGTCGTCGACATCATGAAGACGAATGTCGAGAAAGTCCTCGAGCGCGATCAAAAGCTCTCCGAGCTCGACGATCGAGCAGGTGAGCCTCTCACATGGTTAAAAAAAAAATCGCGCAATAGCCAATATTTTTGTTGAAATTAAATCAACGGTTAATCATCTAAATTAAAGCCTATTCTGCCCAATTATACGTATTTCATTTCGTAATTATGTCTATTGCGTACTTTATTACCGCCAATATATTCATTAATTATTAACTGCGTTCTATTGTTCTATATTTCCACATTAGATACTCATTTATAACAAATATCATTTATTTCACTTAATTAATGCTTCGAAGCAGCAAAATAATGCACATTTACTATATTAATTTACTATAAGAGGATAGCGCGAGCTTAAGAGCTCCCACATAGATTTACGTTTGCAATGTGATTCACATTGTATGCGTCATGATGTATTAAATTGTTATTCACGTCTATAACCGAGTGAAAGGACTTAGAAAGAAAATATGCCCTCGTGAAGACTACACCTTCCATTCATAGTAATAAAGTAGTTCGACCCTGCGCGTCTGACTGCACGTTGATATCGATTGCTGTGGCACTGGTCGAATCGATGCCCACATTTCTGTGGCTAGTGAATGTCGATCTTTTCTCGCGCGATTCGCCCGCACATTTATTATCGCGCAAGCATACATTTCGCGTTTCATACAAATAAATCGCATTTTTCAATCAATTGTTTTTATATAAGATTTAAAAACGTTCCAAATAAATCGGCGATGATACAATCACATAATTGATTTTTGCAGATGCACTACAACAAGGAGCGTCACAATTCGAACAGCAAGCAGGAAAACTGAAGAGAAAGTTTTGGCTACAAAATCTAAAGGTGAGCGTTTATATAACTTTGATAATTAATACGTATGCATTATTTGGAATCTTAATTTTAATAATAATTCTTTCATTCTTGTTTCATTTTCTTAATAGATGATGATTATCATGGGTGTCATCGGACTTATCGTACTGGCCATTATTGTCGGTAAGTGCCTTATTAACGCACTGACATTTAATAGCTATCGACTCTTGGCCACTGTAACTGTTAAATGTTCTGTGCCATCTCGTCGTTGTAACTCTCGTCTCGATTTCGAGCGACTAATTCAGTATTAACCCTATTCAACGCGCGTTTGCCTTCGTGGAATCGATCGTTCGTCGCGATTTAATCAGCTAAACTTCATTTAGATTAGTTGCAGAAATTAATATTCATTTCCCGAGTTCATGATCGATACGGGCGAATATGAATTTCTGTCGCAGAGTGAACTTTCGTACAAAGCTCACGGTGTTTTGACGGCGTTCATTATGTTCGGTCTGAATCAGTCGTTCCTGACTAATGCCTCTCTGTCGACTTATACCTTTGTGCCAAGGAGACGTCTACGTCTATAGACGACGATGTTTGCACGATGTAAAATACGACGCGATGTGACGAGCGAAGTGTTGTCCGCGAGTTTGCATAGCTTGAGGAATCGTCTCGGCGCGATCCCAAAAGATTTGTCCAACAAACGTGCCGAAACGGACTGTTTATCGTGCTTTTGCTTGAATTACGACGACTATTCGCGTTCGATGCATTTTTCACGAAAATTTTACCGAAAACGTCATATTCGCGAACATTTCTTTTCATTTCGGAACATAATTCTTACTTAAGGTCGAAAAAAATTCTAATTTACAATAATATTGTTTGTCCAGTGCCTTTTATGAACAAAATAAGAGTATATTATTTTTTTTTTACAAGAAAAAACGTCTATTACGTTTATTACGCGGAGATATGAGATGCGCGAGAAAAATATTTCAGCATGATTCTGTCTAAAAAAAAAGTGGCATCACACTATCTGCCTTTTTCATTCATCATTTAACACGTGTGAAATGTATGTATTTCTCTTTTCCCGTCTAGCGAACTTCGTGTAGGCGCGTTGATTGGTGGAAGAGAGTGTGTGAGTGAGTCTGAAGGTAGAAAGCAAAACAATTGCGACATTGCGTATCATTGTTGTTTTCACCCCATTTCTCGTTCGCCTTTTTTACTTGTCGTGTAGAAAATGTATACCTGAACTCTGTACGACTCTCTCTCTGAGTTTCGTTCTCGTTGTTTACCGTCTGACACTGAAACTCCTCTCACCCAGAGCTTACAAGATTTTCCTTCATTTTGATAATGTCACGTGTCAAGTGCAAGTTTTATAAAGAGTAAAATAAACACAGAGTATGTTCAAAGTGATAATAATTTCGATTAATCGGAATTATTATTATTTAAATATATGAGAAAGAATATGATTATAAGAAATTTCAACAACATAATAAATTACTGTCTTTAATGAATTGCCGACACTATTATCGTTACAACGATATTATATTATTAGAGTTGTTATTTTTCTTCTAATTTGTTTGCAACAAACGCAGAGATGCGTTCGTGTATTTATAAAGCTGGCACTTGTAGTCGGTGTTATACGTTGTGTCTGCCTGTGATAGGTACTTGCTGATATATCTGTTGCTACGTGTATAATCCTCTATATAAGAACCGTTGTCCAAAGTCGTTGCATATTTATGAATCGCCGATTTAATTGGAGAATCGCTCCAATTAAGAATCACCGCGTAATGATACACCGCGGATTACTTTCATAAATTTTCGACGACATTTCCCCTTATTCCTAGATACTTCTTCCTATCACAACACAACGTGCAAGTCAACATCGAGTATAAGCATTATCGTAAAAATTGCCGGATAAGCAGTATTGGAAATTGTCGGATATTTTCCCGTCAGGGATTTTCCTCAACATTTTGTCCGACGTTTTGAGCGTCTCTTTAAAGTCCACGGGACGGAAAAAAAGTGACGCGTGAGAGAGAATCGCTGTAATATTTTTTAATAACTTTTCAACGTCAGATATATTTATCGCAACTTTTGTGTTTATTTAGATGTAATATATATAGTGTGAGTTAATTTTGAAACAAATTATCGGTTTCTTTAACGAGTGCCGATGAACGGGAGATTCGCTTCTAAAGAGGAACATTTTCCGAGACACAATCATACCTCACCCTGTGTTTGTGTTACGACTGTAATCGTTGTTATGTGTCTGTCTGTACTTTCGGTGGTACCCTCTTTCTGAAGTTGGTCCCAGACAATAATTTTTAATTTTCTGGTGGTTAATTAACAAACAAACAAAAAAAAAAAAAAGAAGAGAATACCAAAAAAAGTGTGTCAGTACGTGAAACAAGCTGAACACGAAGCTTCAAAAATTGTGTGATTCGCGAGCTGCGCGAAAGGAACTAAAGAAAATCTAAAATACCACCAAGAAATGAAAACACAACGACAAAAAACAACATCAACAACAAGCACAATATCGACAACAATAAGAATTACCAAACAACAACTACAACAACTACAACAAGTACAACAAAAAAGGTCTCTCAAAATTTTTGTTTAACCCTATTCTACTCTTCAGTACGGTAAGCTATGATTTTATTGTTGCACCCGATATAACTTTTCCATCTTTTTCTCTCTTCTTCTGCCAAAACGCAATTTTAATCTTCGAGCACCTTTTCTTAAATATTTTTCTTATATTTTATTTATTCATCTTAAAGAAAAATTCTGCTTAAATGTACGATATCTTTTATAGAATATATTTTTTTATCTTTTTGTAATTAGATATATAAAAATTTATTACTTTAATTAAAAATTTTCTATATTTAATAATTTTTTCAATTTTTGCACATTTTGCAGTTTTAGACAATTATAATTAATTAATATAAAAATTAATTTTCATTAGTTTTTGTTTGTCATTTCTTGTATACAATAAAAATACATTTTTGCACATTCCATTCTGCATGCTTTTCTCTCTCTTTCTCTCTCTCTCTCTCTTTCTCTCTTCATTCTTCTTTTTATTTTCTTTTAAACATTCTTCAATTTAGTACAGTGCGAAACTCATACACCATGTCCTTAGAAAATGCATATTTCATGTGCATTTCGATATTATGGAAACGAATCAAGTAAGCGTTTCTGGGACGATCTTCGCGCTTCGTGCTTGACTTACTGCGACTTATTAAGCATGTGTCATCGATTTAATTATTTCCCCTCCCTCGATTAAGAATCGACATTAACATAGCGTTGCATGGCTTGTACGTTATTGTGCCGAAGCTTCTAAAAATTCCAATGGCCAGAATTTCCAATGAACAGTGACGACAATGTCCGCTTATACGCATTGCGTCAAATTCGCATAAAAGATACTTTAAACGGAACTTCTGGCAAGAACGAAACTTCGTCCTGCCGTTAATTGTTTTTATGCAGGAGCAAATTTATGTACCGGATGTACCGAGTGGTCCGAGTATACGCCTTTATGTTTCTACGCCTACATGCATGCAATTCTTTCCTATCCTCATGGCTATGGGCTGTCGTCTAGCTTCAAATGGCGAAGGCTAATTCGATTTTAGCTTACATCGACGCTTCGTCGTGGACAAAATAAAATGACATCAACAAGAGTATTTCGAACATGAAATTATATTCTTTACAATAAACGAAATTTCTTTATCGTTGATTTTAACGTTTGTCCACGGTGAGCGCGACCTCTGCATGCAAGGGAGGGTGAAATAGAGAACGGAGGGAAAGAAATAAAAAAAAAAGAGCAGAAAGACACAGATTAAGATTCGAGGAGGAGGAAATTAAGTGCGACACGGCATGGGGTAAACCAACGTCGCCCCTTGACCCGACGGAGGAGAACAAATGTTCTTATTGTTTTCAGCGAGCGTCACCGGCGGCAGCAACACGCAAAATTGAGCGTGTTAAGTATTGAGAAGAGTAAAATAACGAGAAATGTAAAATAACAACCACGAAACAGCAACGAAAAGAGGAAAAGGGGGAAGAGGAGAAGAGAGAGGAAGCGGCGGCGGCGACGGCTGAAGAAAAGTGGTTCAGCGAAGAGGAAGAGGTGGTTGTTTGAGACCAGACAGCTTAGCAACATATAATATATAAATATATAGGAAATATATATATATGTATAGAAAAAAAAAAGAAAAAGAGAACAGGGTGTCTGTGAAAAATCACCACCTCTTCGACGAAGGCAGTTGCTGTACGAAGGCAGTACGCACACACCACACGCACACACACATACACACATACCGATACACACACGCGAGCGCGATGTATATCAAGACATTTACTTTATAGACGTAATGTGTAAATCACGTGAACTGTAAATAATATATCATTTGTCCCTCACGCGCGCCATTTATCGAATTGTACGATCAAATCCGCGCCGATTGTATCGCAGAGTCACCTCGCATATTTTGTTCTCTTATCTCGCATCTTGCGCTTTCCGCGACTTATTAGGAGAAAAATATAAACCGTTGGAGAAGAGGGACGGAAGAGGGACGGAAGAGGAACGGGAGAGTAAAGATATAGAGAAAAAGAAAAAAATTGCGGCAGTCGCCTGCCTTCGTCGAAGATGGCGATAAACATTTTCGAGCAGCCTGTGTACAAAAAATTTAAGAATTAATAAAGAAAGGAGGATGAAGTTGAGAAAGAGAAGGCTGAGAGTGGAAGAGAGGATCACGGTATTAAAACAGCGCGATAGCCGATAGGTAACGTTTTAAAGCTTAAAAAAGAATTATCTACAAGATGTTATGTATACATGTTAATAATAATGATGATTACGATGATAATAATGATAACACTAATAAATATAATAATAATAATAAACATTATCGATCAATTGATAACGACGGCGATAAAGAAGTTTGGTTTCCCCGCTACGCGGATGCGATCGAACGACGAAAAGAGGAAACGCTGTTCTCCGATTCGCGGATGGCCGGGAGGCTTCATCCTCGATCGTCCTCTTATCGTCCATCCGCGAGATGAGACGTCGTCGGCGACAAGTACAATCGTGCGCGCCGCCGATTGTCCGTCGATACTCCCCTCTTCCTACTTCCGTTCGATCTTTCCTGGTTTCGGATGCTGCTGATTCAGCAATAATTTCGCGGGACGTCCTTCGGACCATAATTAATCCTCCGCAATTGTTCCTCCCTCTGATCCCGTCCCGACGCGCGATGCCCGCAAATTTCCGCAGGCGCCATTCCGCCGCGATTTCCGAACGCGACGATGTTCACCGAAAGAGAGAGAGAGAGAGAAGAGCTTTTCATCGTGTCGATCGGCAAGATACTATGGATGATTTTGCTCTCGTATGCGCTGATGTTCATTATAAGAAGAGTGAAATTCACGAAGATATTGATATATCGGCTACTAATTTTTCGCAATTATTGAACTATACGATTAGACGCCTACTTGTTAGCGTCAATTGGCATAAAAGTAAAATAAAAATTATCTTTACTCCTTATTTTTTCTAAGTGTTTTCAACTAATATGAGTAGTTTGGCATGTCGCGATATCATTGAGGAGTATCGATAGTGGGGAAATCATTGGGGACCACGAATTGTTAGCGTGATACGCTTTCGTTAAAATTTGTAAAAATAATAAAGCGAAAGGCCGATCGACGAATGAGAAGTTCTTCATGGTTGTCGCGCGAAGTGGCCCACGCGATTCGAGTTGTAATATTTAAACGATCATTCTATGTTTCCGAACTTATAAACACATAGTTGTACATCATATTTTAACCGTCGACGTATCCTTAATTATTAATAACGAATATGATCATGATGCTGCGCTTTGAACATTGTACAGTACCGAATAAAAAATAAGCTGCGTAGTTGAATTGAAGTTATGAAGAAGTACAGTTGGAGGAGGATCAATTATGACATTTTCATTTTATCACTTTTGAGTCATTTTGTGCTTTCGCTTCGATCGCGTAGAATTCTAACATTGTAAGACATTTTTTATAAATTATTGCTCGCTAATGGACAAGTTACGTTTCAGTTTTTTTCTTTTATTTTCTGGCATTAACCGTTAGCCGTTAAAAAAAACAACAAACATTTTTTAATTCATTAACCATCGAATACATATCGCGCCTTCCAGGAAGAGGATCATTATAAAGCCTAGTGTCTGTTAAATCCAGGAGGTAAGAACAATAAACTTGTTACTGTATGTGCGATTGTTTTTTTACCTGGCTTTTTGGGAAACTTTTATTCCTTACTTTATTTCAAACTGTACTCTTTTTAATCTAAAAAATTACGTAATTTTTCAAAATTGTATATTTAATTAGAAAAAGAGATTGTAATTTCTGATTCAAAGAATTTTCTGGGAATTATGTGAATATCCTTTTAAATATAAATTTTTCAATAAATGTACAAATTTTGTACGACACAATTTTTCTTCGCGATTAAATCCTACTGCTTGAATTTTTATTCTCTTATCGGTTGATAATATTATAATTCCAATCGTTATTAATAATCTCATAATGCAAAAAAATATATATTCAAATATTTTTTCTTCTTTTCAAATTATAAGTTCCACCTTCTGAAACGTTCTTTTATAATTCCATCTGTGTTATGTATGACAATTGATATAAAGTGTGCTCTTCCATCATTGTATGTCATCATTCCGTTCATAGTTTTTATTATTTCACATCATCTATGAACGCGATTGAATATCGTTGTGTTGGCAACGTGAATTATATTGTATGCATAAGTTTATTTATTCCGTGATTATGTCAAAAGTAGAGACACGTCAGTGATATGTGTGTGTCTAATTATCGTCGCTTCGTGATTATTTGACTCGTTGTCCATTCGTACAATTGTTCGAACTTTGTCGTTAGTGTATAAATAGTGCCCGACGTGTCGAGATTTAAAGTAAAACGCGACAATACCTATACACTATTATCTAACGGAATAAAGTCACTTCGAAAGAAAGAGAGCGAGAGCAAAAGGGAGAAAGGAGAGAGAGAGAGAGAGAGAGAGAGAAAGAGAGAGAGAGAAAGAATACTCTGTAATATAATACACAGCTGTTACAAAAAAAGAAAAAATGAAAATATGAATACAACTTCTGCGTTCTAGCGTTGTATAACCTGTGTATTTTTTTCATTTATCGAAATTATATGTTTCTGTGTGTTAATCGTTATAAAAATGTGGGAATAAAAAATACCTATGACATTACTTTTATGCAGTAGATAAAAAATAAATCCTGATAAATTCAAATAACGAACTGTAGAGAACGACTTGCAGGGAAATCGAAATTATTTTATTGCCGTTTCACTCACAACTCTTTCCCTTCGATAATTATTGTTCCACGCTTTGTGCCTTCTTTTCGTCTCATTGTGTATCATCCAACTGAACCTTTAGAACTCCATCTGAATCTTCAAATACCGCATCATTCCTGAATGAGTGTTGGTGAGAATTCTTATTTTATCAGACAGAATTTATACCCCAAAAGCATGCGCTTTCTGTTAGTACGTTGTACAACAATTTACTGGAATTTAATCCTTTTTGCGAATGTAATAGTTCCAAAAAGTGATTTCAATATAACAAACATCAATTTAATAATCAATACACTTATTTAAATTGATGCAAGTATATACCCTACCAAGAATTAGAAAAAAAATTTTTTTCTGAAATAAGAAAGAGTTGCAAGAATTACACTAGGATTAATAATATCATTAGTATCTTCACAATCGCGTGCGATTGTAAAGAATTCTCCGTACCCCTTTCCCATTGTCATTTCTCGGCCCGTTGTTATTTGTCCCCCCCCCCTTCCCCCCCGACGCCCCATCGT